CTGCTCTGAGTAGAATGAAGCTTTGAAAAGCGCGCCAGTGGACGTGCGCTTGGAGTTTGAAGCACGAGAGAATTTCCCGGAAAATGTATCTTCTTACTGTCTTATTCTACACGATTGCATCAAAGAATATTAGTGGTGACGTAAAAAAACTTGTTTAAACAAGTATATCAAAGTGAAAAAAAAATACTAGCAGTGAAGTCAGTCTTTATCATGATGGAGTACATGGTGGACATGCAGGGCTTTAAGAAGCCTGGCAACGATTATGTGCTTCAGGAGTTGGCGATTTTTCCACTTTATGGAGATGATGAGCCTTAAGTATTTCTCTTCAAGTCACCATTTCTTTGGCGCAAACTAAATGATAAATACAAACGTCAAAATTTATGGCTTGAGCTATCCTATCATAGATTAGATTAGCAATCAGGTATTATCGACTACACAAAAATTGTTAATGTTTTTCAGGAGAATCTCAATGATGCTAAGAAGATTTTTTTGGTGGAAGAAGTAAAGTAAAGGTGGCTCAAAAGGTTGAATTTTCAAGTTAATGATATGGTTGATTATCCAGAGTTGGAACTCCCAATATTAGCTACTGCATGTTTTTACTATAATGGTGCGTATAGATCTATGTGTGCCACCTACAATGTCAAACGTATAAAAAAATTCTACATTTATGTGGAACGGTAAGATGTCACTGATTCTGAAAAAAATGTATGATAATAAAAAAACTCAATTAAACTGTGTTTTTTTTTTTAAATTATGTCATAAGTAAATGTATCGAATTATATTGTTGTTATTCTTTATGTAGCCTTTCCCTCAAAACTAGATTAAGATTAGAATATTAAGAACCAATGATTCATTCTTATACAACACACTTGCGTAGTGCCTACACTAGCGAGTATATAAACTAATTTCGGTGCTGAGTGCTGCTTAGTTCATCAAGCAGCATCAAACGCGACAGATACGCGTTTTCATCGCAGTTAGTACGACGCTTTTGAGCTGCAAAATAAAAATGGATTTTGTCAAGGATTATGTTATTGAGATTAAAGGTTTTCTGGACGCTTCTCGACGGTTTTTACCAAAAAAAGTGGCTGTGGTGTCGCTTATCAGACCAGCGATTAGTCATTGGATTGTGCGGCCTCCGTGCCATTTTTTCACCTTACCTATGGATGTGCGCCAAAACAACGACTTTCAGTCGAAGCGAGTGCATGGATTTTACTGGTTCGAGGGGGATTGTTCCATCAGAAAATTACAGGAAAATTTGTACACTGTAGCAAACAATGCACATCGAATTTACGTTTATGGAGATAATACAGCCACTTATTTGGAATCGACCATAGGGGTGTACTGTGATTAACATTTAGCAGTATATGGTGCCATCGCGTCTTATTCTTAATATGGGATATTTAACAAAGGCGTTAATGTGCGGTACTCATGATGTACAAAAAAGTCTACGTAGAAAGCAATATTGCACACTTAGTAGAGCTCATCCAATAAAATTGTGGCTTTGCTCTTTGGTGGAAAGTAGCATTGAACCAGACTCAGAATGTTTGTTAGACGCGCTTAATAGTTATAAGAAAAAATTTTCTAAAACGCTTCCCAGTTGGGATACTGTTGATGGAATTAATGCTAATGATACTGATACTAATAGTGACTCTGAAACTAATACTAATATTGGTGTCAAAAACGATGACCGTGTGTAGGAAAAGGAAAAAAAGAATAAAGTAAGCATGAAATTTAAGATAAAAAAATTAAAGTACATCTTGTCGTGTAATAGTACAAAGAAATTAGTGCCATCTTATAAGCGGATGAGAATTTGCGTATTGCTTTAGTTATTCTGTGAAGATTGAGCAGTCAACATCAACAACATGGGTCCGATCTTTAGCAAATCAAAATATGAGAGCTTCAGTAAGGAGGAGGAGGAGGAAGATAAAAGTAGCCGAAAACCTCTTATAGAAAAGCACGTCGAGGCATTTCAACCAAAAGTGAAGGGAAATTATTATTCCGAAAATATTCGCTCTTATCTAAATCAAGATGTATATGATATATTGAAAAAAAAAATCAATGTCCATGAAATTCTTGTGTATTTTTTTTTAAGCTACCAAAAACATTTGTGTATTAAATTTAAAGTTTTGTTGTTGTTGAAACTCATTTACATACTATCCTAAAAATCTCAAACTTAAATTCATAAGCTGGCTGAATTTGTTGGCAAAGTACTGCGTCGAGTAAGCCAACGTTGGTCGCAGCTAAACGGGATACACGATCCGCTACATCTACTGATAAGAAATACACGTTTATGCTTGATCATCTTTTTCTCGCAATGTACGTTGGGCTTGTCACCTTCACCTTTTGGACACATTCTAATGACGTCGGAGCTCAATTCCCGGTCGGATAGAAAGGGAGCCGTTAGTACCCTCCGACGTCACAGCATCCAGAAGAGACCCCTTCCCCTGAAGTTACCGTCCAAGTAGTCCGCACCACCCACTGCCCCTACTAATTCTCCTATACCACCCGTGCCTCTCCTTCCACCACCCAATCAGCCTCTCCTCCCACCGCCCGATCAGCTTCTCCCCCCACTATCACCTCAGGGGGGACGCTGGGGGATGCCAGAACCGCCATGGTTTACCTACTGAAGAGTGATATCTGTAGGTGAAAAATGCACTTCACAATAGTTTCTGTCATATATTTAATTCGTGCAAGTTAGTAGAGAGGAGCACTGACACTACTTGGTACTTTAACATGCAATACTTACTTAACTTAACATTATCTTACTATAACAATAAATTTAAGTCTCATTGAAAATTAAATGTGACTTTACAAGGTACGCAAACAACATTGATACACTTTTATTCGTATCAATAAATGTACATAAATAGGGTCCCCCATTGGAACAAAAACTTGTTTTTTGATAAAACATATACTTGAAATTAAAAATTAAAACTTACTTGAATTGTCTATTTGAAAAATTTTTCAGGAATTAGTAAAAATAAGAAATTTATCTTTTACAGACGCAGGTCAACCACAACTTCCTACTTTTTAGATAAATGCTCTACCATTCAAGCTATGAGGGAGCCATGCGTTTACTTGTTATATAGATTTGGATAAAATCTATATGTGTGTGAATTAAAAAATTATGTGGGTTTTAATATTATTCGTGCACCCCGTAAAAACCCTTAAAACTCTTAATTTATCAATAATCATATGGAGAATTTTTCAACATAATTATTATTATTGTTACGATACAGATATCTCAAATAATAGTCACATGTATTTAAGAAAAATAATGAAGAATGCAAACTATATACTATTGAACAGTTGTTATTAAATTTACAACAATGTTACCGTAAAGTCTTTTATAATTACCCAATTTTGAGCGTTAAAAGATTATTGTTAAATCTACACTTATGTTGTAGGTTGATTCAGCAGACATGGTAGAACTTATATTTCTAAAAATGCCTATTGCTATAAGCTCTTCATTTGCATACGTTGAGCACTTCTATAGTATATTGACAAACAAGATCATTCCCACCGAGCACTTCGATATGATTCTTGATCAAGATGGTCAGTGTACAGAATGAAATATACTCTGAGAAAAGTGGTGTTTAAAGAGTTTTATAACTGTAGAAGAAATAATTACACCAAAAAGAATTACTGTGTCTAGTATTGTACAAATCTTCATAGTATAATCTTTACCATAAATTACAGTAAGATTTATAATTGTAATTCTAAAATGTCTTACATTCTAAAATAGAAATGACTATGTGACAGTAAAATTTCTGATTAAAGTGCATTTCTACGCAGTACAGTAAGAATAGATATGTTTGTAAGTAATTTTATACATTGTTTATAGATATATACGCCTACTGAGTTTTGATTGAGTTTTAAATTTAGGGTTATAGTAACGGAATCATAACGACTAACATATGTATATATGTGAGGATTAAAAATTAATATGTGTAAACAAACAATTTTCCATCACCTTACTATCCATTCTTAATACTGTGATCAACGAAAAACTCTTCGATTTTAATTTTATTTTAGGTATTATAAACAGTACACGCTCTCACATGTACTCTATCAATACTACTGCGGACACACCGCACTATGGTTAAGTGGTTGTGGCACCTGGTTCGAATGTTAAAAGACGGAAGTTGAATTCTTGGTCAGTGCAGGTCTGTTTTCGAAATGCAAATATTTTTAAAACGCACTAATATCTATAATGCGAAGAAAAAAAATATCCATTTACATAAAAACTATGCCTCCTGATCTTGTATAGGTTATATTCATATATATATACATATATGTATATATTCCCTGCATAAAACAAAAAAAATATTTATGTCTCTTTTCTTACTTTCATATAATCGATTTCTGTACAAAGTAAAAATATTTTAGTTATATGTACTTTTTGCAACACTACTTTTTTTCAGTGTGTATATGGAAAGTAGCATTGAACCAGACTCAGAATGTTTGTTAGACGCGCTTAATAGTTATAAGAAAAAATTTTCTAAAACGCTTCCCAGTTGGGATACTGATAAGAAAATGAACTTTTTTAACTTTATAATAAAAACAACGTATAGCATTATACATAAATGATCAAAATCTTAGACGTGATTGTTTCATGGGGTCAAAAAATAATTTTAATATCCAAAAACTTTTGAAAGTAAGATAACTTTTTAAGTGAAAACTTTTATAATATTAGCATAACTTATTTAGTTTGATGTTAGAATAAAGAAATCTTAAACATATATTCTACACTTAAACTCACCAATAATTTTTTTTAATAATATACATAATTATATGATACTTTCAAAAACTCAAAAAAAAGCTGCCACATGACAAAGTTGTTGGCTCGTTAACTATAGCAAGCTGATATTTGGCAGTTATTAGAGGTTTTTAATACAAACTTAACGTTAAAAGAGTATAATATATCAAACAGAAGTCCATGACAACATTGACAATTTTTTCTACAAAAATAAGTTATAAATTATTGCAAAAAGTAATACCTGAAAGAAGACGGTGAAATATATAACTGTGATGGTTGTTGTTACAAACATAGGTTGCAAAGGAATGTGTTCATCATCTATGAGAAGTACAAGAGCAAATGCTACAGCACCACGCAAGCCACCATACGACATCACAAACTTTTCAACTTTATTAAGTTTGTGTAAACGAAATTGATTTGCTAATGCAGATAAAACAGTGACACCTGTGCAATAAAAGAACTTGATGAAGCGTGTTACATAATTTTTTGGTCCTTTAGATAAAGCTCTAATGTAAGAAAAATGAATCGTTACGCATAACTAAGGAACAAAATGATAATTTTTAGCAAGTCTCTACACTTGTTATGTATAGAAGTAAGGAGTTGTACATTTTTCACAATCTTATAGTAGATTAATATTGTATAAATTGTAATTTTATTATTTACTGCTCTTAAAAGAATGCAAAATTAGGCAAATAGTTCATGACACAAATTTAAAGAATAACTTGGCCAACCTACTTCTTAAAAACTTTATTCTTAATAAAAGTCATGTAACCACTGAAACGAGTATTATAGGAATACCTTTAAGTACAAATTGTTATTAGATTAACCTTATACGGTTTAAAAATAAAACATTAAAAAAATTAATAAAATGAAAATATCCACTGTCATGTTATATGCGATGAATAAATAAATTTACACAAGCAGGGATCAATTTTCATTAAAAGACTCAGTGCACTACTTATAAGTAGTTAACAAAAAGTAACAATGATAATCAACACAAGCTAAAACTACATAGCTCTGTTAGTATTGGTACTTTACCAGCTACTAGAACCCACGCCTTTTCTTTTAAGTAATTAACCTGATTTCTTAATAGTAGTTCTCTTAGTCTTTTTCATTAAGTTGTACTTTTTTCAAAAAATATTTTTTTTCTTAATGCTAGTCTCTATTAAAAGTCCATCTCTTAATGGTTTTAACATGATGATAATAAAATTTTTGTAAAAAGTCAACTAGTTAGTAATAATTAAAAAAACAGTAAATAACATTTCTTATGACATTAGATGAAAAGTGAATTGTTTTGAAATTCATAAAGTAACCTCTTATGTGCAACTTTTAGAGAGAATCAACCTACGTTTAGAGATCAATATTTTCAGAACCTGTTTTGATACTGAGAGCACTACTAACAAATTCTGACAACAAAAAAGATTTTTTTAGTGAGTACATTTAGTTGATTTTTATGTCAACAACTGAACAGTTGCCTTACCAAAGTAGTTTTTATTAAGTTGAGACAATATTACAATGCAATTTTTTAGAATTCTTACAATATCATACAACTAATTGTTTCGCTCACTGCAACATAGAATGATAGTGTGGCTATATTTAACCAACTTAGTTCGTTAATGAATATTTTGGCTATTTTCTAAACTTATGCCAGTTTTTTTTTAATGTTATAAAAATATTATATTCATTTATTTGTTATTTATGACATAGTACATTTATCAAAGCTCTGTAAGTATTTAAAAAAAAATATCATTAAGTATACGTATTGTGATAAAGCTGAAGCTACCATGTCACTATGTACTTATATTTTTGAGCAAGTCATCGGTGGCTAACGAGTTCTATAATAAGTATATATTTGCTATACATATACATTTTTGACACATTAGTGAATGTGTGTTCTCGGTGCCACGGGCTACGAGCCAAGAAAAGGGAGAAGGGCCAAAGGTAATGAGAAAAGTGAAATATGTGTGAAGTATAAACAAGTAAGTGTATGTGGGTAAGAGAAAAGGGAGGTAGATAAGCTTATGACGCATCAGGAACGAACCAAAGGCCAATTCGTCACGTCGAGGACTTAGCTTTGAAGACCTCCAACGATTTACTGATTCTTAGGAGCTTTGGAGATTGTGAGATGCAAAGAGAGGAGCGTGCACACCTATGCAGACTTACTGCATAGCGCAAAGTAGTGTACAAGGCATCAGAGAGAGCAGAGCATAGAGACCAGAGTCGAGAGTTACAGGGAAGATGACAGGTGATAGAGAGAATAGCAGAGAGAGAGAGAGAGCCAGAGGAGGGTGGTATTCAGTGAGACGAGAGGGCAGTTAACGCTAAAAGAATCACCGGAAGCCAGTGGTGTGACTGAGCCACAGCCAAGACTTGGACGAGCCCTCGATAGCGCAGCATGATCGTAAGGACATTACAAAATTACTGGGCATAGAAAACTAGAGTGAGGTACACTGATAGAGGTATCCAGGTGATCCGAGCAAACAAGTGAGTAAGTACATATGGGGATAGGATGAACGTTAGAGACACATAAGTGTGTGCGAGATTTTTTGAGTTAGTAACGTGATTGAGGAAGATGACTGTTACGAGGTGTGCATGACATGGTGCGTTTGGGTATATGCGTGTGTATGTGAGGCAGGTGTGGGCCTTTAACAGCCAAACCAAGGAGAAGTTTGACAGTAAGGATGACTAAAACACACATATTGAGTGGCATACTGACTTTTAAGGCACCGTATTAATGCTTATATTTATAGTGAAGAGAAAGAAAAAGTATTCAAGAGTGTGTAGAGGGTAAATAAATAGCGTAAGACCATTGCGAAATTGATGTCAGTGATTGTGTTTATTCATAATAAGTGCCCCTATTTTTCCCTTTCTACTTTCTGTTTAGGAGTGCTTGGCGTTCTGTAACCGAACACCTGTGGCAGACCGCCGGGAGGAGAGGAATTCAGTGGTTGGGACTCGGCAAGTGACGTACGTAAAAGAATTTTGTGACAGGATCCAGATGGCTGTTTATCGGCTGAATAGTCCTTGTCACAAATAACATTTTTTAAGTGGAGAAGTATATCACAGAATTAGAAAGGGTTCCCCAGGGCCTAAAAGTTTTTCAGCGTTTGAGTGAAAGTGTGAGTGAATTGAGAGTATTGGCTGGATCTGGAAAATGAATAAAAAGTCATTTATTTATTTTTTTATATATACTAGAATAAAAACAATTTTAGTATATGTATATACACACACCATTCAAAATGTTTTAGAAAATTTATTTTCAATGTGTATTGGGAGAGGCCATCGGTGGCAAGTGTGGGTAATCGGCGATACACAAACAATGTATCTTCGTTAGGTAGGGTCGTTTAGCATTTTGGTGTTTTTCTGGCGTCTTGGCATGGGTAAGAAAATGGCTTTACATGAATAAATAGTACAGGCGCTTGTTAACAAGCAGGAGTTATGTGCACTAAGACGCAGTAAAACGATAATGCTGTTAGAGGTGGTCGTAAGGGAACTTACTTTGAGAAAATGTAGTGACGAGGGAGATGAAGCCATTGTTAGAGACAGTCTTTTACGAGTTCTAATGTTGGAGGTTGACCAAAGCAATAGGTTAATACCCTAATACGAGGAAGACGTGCCAGTGGACAAGGATAAGGGACAATCGGATTACAGTACCCCAAGGACGATGCTTTTAAGCATCGTGGACGAGTTAATAGCCAGAGCATTGTCGTGTAGAGATCGGTCGGAATCAGAGAGAACCAAGAGCATCATGTCGTCGTCAGGGCCAGGGGTTACGAGTTTGACAAGTAGGATGTCCGTACCAGTGCAATGAAGAAGGGAGGGTAAAAACGTGAGTGCGAACAGGTCAAAGATAGAGAATGAGTGGAGTCAATCAGGGGAGACTAACACCAACCTCTATATGCCTTGACTGTAGGGTAACAACCGGGACGACGATGACGTACACAACGACGTACACAACTCCAATCACCACGTCAAGGGGTAGGGGGGGGGAGATCAGGCCAACATTGGAGAAGGAACAGACGTGATCGATTACAATCGATCCTAACCTTCAAAGATTTCTGATGGTGGGTCTTCAAAGTGAGCAAACCCTGAGTGCAACCAGTAATACTCTTGGAGGATATTCTCCTGCCCCCCAGGATTTATCCCAGGAGATGTTATGTAGCTCACGAAAAATCCTCTAAGACCAATCAGGAGAACTCAACAATTTCAAGGGCTCTTCAGGGACAATGATTAGCCCATCAGGCAGGTTCAGGGGATATTTAGGGTTTGACAAGGGCTGATAAGGGAGCCAAAGAGAAAAATCAGGCAACCTTAATAGATAATTAGGAGCTCCTTAAACAAAGTACGGGAACTCCGAAAATCAACATAATCGCTCAACAGTCGATCTTGAAGGAATTGGCACGAATTTTTGTTCTGCCAAATAAAACTAATCAGAGTGAGTATTTCACCCCTGAATAGAAGGGAAATGTAATCAATCCGCATACGGCAGGGAATAGATACGACAGAGGAAGGAGGGCCAGTGGACAGAGCTGACTAGCAGAAAAAGAGTATAGGCCAAGGAGCACGAGGGTTAGAAGACAGTTAGGGGAGAAATGTAGAGAATAAGAGTTGAGAAGAGGTTTTTCATTTAAGTAAGGTTATGTTAGGACGAACCAAAGTCAGAATGTGTAAGAAGTCAGCGAGCAAGGAGTCAGATACTGAGAAAACTCATTTACCGCGCACCCGGAAATGTAGGAAATCTGGCCAAAGACGTTGATCCAGATGACTCAAAAGATCATTGGCATGGGCTTAGAAAGTGACCCTCAATACAAGATCAGCAGGTGTAGCCGAAGAGTCACAAGGGTCTAAGCTTACGGAACCCATAATCGAAGATTAACTCTGGTGGTATTTCCCACCATTGTGGGAAATGGTCACTTGGGCTATAGAAAGACGAAATCTTGGTGAGAATCACATTTTTATCAGAGGAGGTGAGTAGGCTCCCCCAAGAAGAGACAAGATAATAAGCACAGAGTAAGAGGCTACGAGCGACAAACAGAAGATCAGGGACAGCGCAGACCAAGCTGTAGGGTCCAGGAGGTTTAGGGCGCGCAAAGTAGCTCCTTCGAAAGCTTTTGGGAAGACGGCCCTATCCCAGGCCGTGAAACTTCTTAAAGGTTGGGAAATGAAGTTTGTGGAAGAAGATAGGGGGGAAAACACAGAAGAGTTTTTGAAGCAGTTGGAGGACTGTTGGGGTAGTACAGAATTTAGCAACCAAAAACTCTTGAGTGCGATACCGTGCGTTTTGTCCAAGGTAATGAGCCGATGAATCTGGTTTATCAACGGAGTGTTAAGAAACTGCGACGAGTTTTAAGTGTCGTTTAGGAGACAATACATCGAAGAGTCTGATGGAGAGGATCTTTGGGATGACTTGTATCGGTGCAGTCAAGCCAAGACTGAGAGAATCAGGGTGTATCTGTCAAAATTCAAATGCATCAAGCAAAAATACGGGCAAAAAAGAAAAAAAACCGTAAGGAAGGGAATAAGCAGGGTAGCGGAATAGCGAAAGTAAAGAGAAGACAGGAAACAAGAATAGGAATGGGTCTCCGTTCTTTCACCAACCTTCGGAGTTAATCGCAAGCTTTGCATAAGCTCCAAACCCTTCATAGTGAGCCCAGTATTGGTAAACTATACCTTAGAATGATCAGGCAACCGTAAAATACCCAACTGAAATCAAGGAGGGGGATCTGCCGGCTATTCCAACTTCTAACGGGACCCAACAGGGTGTGATCCCTAAGCGGTCAGCTCAGATAAATCTTTAGGAGAAAGTGGATTTGATAACACCTGGCATACGTGCCAGGATGTTAGTCATCATTCCACCTGATGCCTGGAGGTCCGTTGTTATGCATGTAAAGGCAAAGGACACCTGGCGCAAAATTGCCAGTTGCCCCCCCCCCCCCGTGTATTCCAAACCTAAGCTGACAGTCAAGTATCAGGTTTGCCGGACCCAAGGAGTGATCTTCTCGTCCTGACCCAGATGTGAGTTCTGGCGAAAGATGACGAGAAATAGGGTATGTGGAGGCCAAAAATAAATGAGTTAACTTCTGCAACCTCCGCATTTAAACTGAGGCTAGAGTTAGAGGAAAATAGAGTCGAGACAAGATCCAGAAAAGAGGTTGAGAAAAAGTTAAGAGATTCAATAGCATCAAGGGAAAGTGAAGATTAGAGAACGAATAGCGAGATAAAGTAAGTTCTTGGGGTAGATAGCTAATTGGTTTTGGTCCCGAGGAAGACTCTCCAGAAGCCACAAAGTAAGCATAAGGATAAATGTTTATGGGCACCATAAGAAGATAAGCGAGAGCAAGGGGCGAACAACGTTGAAGACGTAGCCAAGTTCTCTAAGAATAGCCTCATGGGCTACAGGAGAAGAGGATGAGTCAAGCATTGAAGTTAAACGAAGCCGTAATGAAAGAGAAACCGACGAGAAAATACGAGAAGATGAGTGAGGGCGAGAGGTGTGATCTCTGAATAGAGATAGTGATATTGGGAATAATAGGGAAACGTTGGTCAAGTGGAGAGATGACGATCCTATATGGCAGTAATAGAAAAAAGAGTGGAAATGGAAAACCAACGAGAAAAACGAATCAGTTTGGTACACCAAAAAAGTGTCAGGTCCAGACAAAAACTTTGACATTTAAACGGATGATTCTGAGTGGGAACGATACTCCAAATCTGATAATGATTGTTATAATCAAGAAGTCCTTGACCCAAACTTCAGAAACGTCGGGAAAACAACATATTGGTAAATCAAGCGACAAGAGAAAGAAGAGAGACTCTTAACTTCTAAATATGAGGGAAACTGAAAGTTGAATGACATTAAGGACCTTCAAAATTCCTCTGACACGTCTTTCGAAGATAAAGATAATTTCTGGGAAACATAATTCAAGTGCGACTCTCCCAAAATCAAAAGAAGTGCGAGAAAGCTATAGGTTAGAAGCATTTTATTTGTTCAAATTAACAGGTGTAAAAAATGCAGGAGAAAAGGTAGCAAATAGAAAAAGGCAAATTGAAGAACACTTGTATGAGAATCTTTTAAATGCAAATAGCAAGAACAGACCGTATTATTCGGTAATGTTAGGAGGTCAGGAGTATGGGGCACTTATAGATGCTGGAGCTCAGTCTTCGATTATAGGATCCAAGTAAGCGGAACGATTCTAAGACCAACTGGAGCCAACTAAGGCGCTAATTGTTCAGGTCAAAATTAGGCCGTCAAAAGTATTGGGCACATTAACAATCAGTTGCGAAATCGATGGCTACAAGAGAGAGATATTGGTAAAGCTATTAACAAGAACAACCAAGATGTCGTGATCGGGAGAAATTTTCAAGAAACTTTTAATTTAGATCTATGATTAAGTCGGGGATTATTTTAAGTCTTTGAGGATGAGTGGCATCTATTAAGGGATACGGACAATTCATTGAAAGATACGATATTTGTCAGAAGCGTTGGTACCAAAAATATATAATCCACTATTTAACGGGTCAAAAACAGGCTAGCGTCACAAAACCAAGTCGCCAACGGTCTAGATTTTGAATCAAGCATGAGGAAAACAACCAGAAAAAGGGTGCGTGTGTATAGTAGGATATCATGGAAAAAATGTACTTTTGGTTTCGTTTTGTTTTAATTTTTAGGTGAGAGGGAGTTAAACTATATTGATACAAAAGAAAATGGTAACGTGGATGGGATGACAGACATATAGAGAAAAAAAAAGATCAAGAGGGAAAGAGAAGACCAAGAGAGTAAAAGAAAATCAAAAGGAAAGAAATTATTGTTAACAGAGGAGAAAATTTTTAAAAGATAGTGGGCCTAAGTAAAGTAGTGAAAAACTAAGTGATTTTGAGAACACGAGTGCTTCAAAAGGCCAGAGAAAGAGGAGTAATTTTATTTATAGAAAGTAGGTCCCGTAAAAGCAGAAAAAGAGAGAGCCAGAGTAGAGTTCTATCCAGTAAGATAAGAGGACAGTTGCCACTAAGAGAATCACCAGAAACCAGTGGTGTGACTGAGCCACAGCTGAGACTAGGATGAGCCCACGATTGCGCAGCATGATCGTAAGGACATTATAAAGGTACTCGGCATAGAATACTAGAGTCAGGTACGGGGATAGAGATATCTGGGTGATCTGAGCGAACAAGTGTATGAGTACATGCGGGGATAGTATGAACGTTAGAGATGCGTGAGTGTGTGCCAGATTTTTCAAGGTAGTGACGCACGTGAGGCTGGTGACCGTTACGAGGTGTGCATGACATGGTGCGTCGGGGTATATACGTGTGTATGTGAGGTAGGTGCAGGTTTATGCATGACAGCTGATATGTGCATGACAGCTGAGCTAAGTAGAAGTTTGACAGCGAGGATGACCAGAACACATACATTGAGTGGCTTACTGACCCTGAAGGTATAGTATTAATGCTCATATTTATAGCAAAGAAAGGAAAAAAAGTGTAATATTTAAGAGTGTGTAGAGGGCGAGTGAATAGCGTTAGCGCGCTGTGAAATTGATATCAGTGATTGTAATTATTTGTTATTAGTGCCCCCATTTTTTTCTTTCTGATTTCCATTTAGAAGTGTTTGGCGTACTGGAACCAGACACCTGTGGGAGACCTCCTGGAGGACAGGAATCTAGTCGTAGGGATTCGGCAAGTGACGTACGTGAGAGTTGTGTAACAGGATTCAGGTGGCTGTTTATTGGCTAAAAAGTCCTTATCACACTATGAGCGCACTTATAATCGTGTTTTTTATAGTTATCTTAATCATCCTCACTGCTCATTTTCACTATACCTGTATGGATTTATAGTGTTTTAAGGCTATATGCAAAATAACCCTCAGCGCTAACTTGTGGCTGGATGGTGAGTCCGCGTGATTACGAGAATATACGGAGAAGCATGGTTTGCCTAAGTTCAATAATTTTTTTTTTATCAATAATAGGATTCTTCGTATGGGACCAATCATCTAAATTACAAGCCCTATTTTGTTACCTTTACGATGATATTTCTTTCAGCATGAGATCTTGCTTTAATAAGTTGTAAAAGAGACATATGTTCCTTTATTGCTCGGACATGTGAGCTACATTGTACGTTTCTGTACTACTAAGTCTTCTCTATTTTTCTCACACACTTTTCTGACACATGCAATGTAGCTTACACGTACAAAAAAGGAACATATGTCTCTGTTACAACTTATTACAGCAAAATCTTATGCTGAAAAAACATGATTTTAATGTTAAGAAGTTAGGGATTTTAATTTACATGATTGCGTAACTAGAAAGGATCTTAATATTGATAACAAAAACTTTTGACTTGAGGCAAACTATGCTTCTTCATGTATTCTTGTAACCATGCGGAATCACTATCCAGCCACAAGTTGTTGCTGGTGTCTTTGTGCATAGAGCCTATAGATCTAAGGCTCTATTACCACTATTACGAGTACCAGACGACCCTTAGTTCGTTGATACGAGGCTACCCCAATAGGAGTTCTTTGGATCTTAATCCATCACCCAGATTCTTATTCTAACCATTGAAATAAGCACAAGTCTTAAAATGTACTTTAAAAATTTATCACTTTACATTTGAGTAATCATAAGTTTTTTTTATATATTTCGTAATTAGTTGAAGTCAGTGTTAGTATATTTTTTAAATAAAATTTTGTTGCCCTCATCTTAATTTAAATTCTGGTCATCAAAAAAATAGAAAGCTACTTTACTGTCTGTGCTATCAAAGAACTTGTATAATAGAATTATCAAAAAAGCATGGTTATTTTTGAAATACTGCTTCTAACGCGAAGAAAATCAAGGTAGTAGTCAAACTGTTTCAGAACAAATCTAAATAGTTTTAGACTCCAAATTGTGTCACTTAACGGCCCAAAAAAAATGGTGGCCTAAAATGGTTTTTTATCGCCTAGTAAGACACTGGAAAGTCAAAAAAACAAGCTGTACAAGTGGAAAAGATGCACAATTACAAGACAAATAGATTAGCTTTAGTGGAATAAAATCAGTCCAGCCATTTCTCGCAATTTGCAAGAAAGTTTTTCACACTTTGGACCGTTTTTTTTTAAATCTAAAACTCACGTTCTTTTTAATATGAAAACTTAAAAATTAAATGTAAAGTAGATCTTGTATCCCTTTTTATCAAATTTCAGGAAAATCAGTTGTAAACTTTTTTCAAACCACTGCAGAAGCCAAAAATGGTTCCTCCACAAAAAAGTTGGACGTGGTGGGTTATTCAACATATTGCCATTTTTTAAACAGCATTGTACTTATTTACAGTTACTTGACAACCTACCAACAACTCGTTCTGTTTGACATTTTGGAGGAACGCGAAAAATTGATGTCAAAAATTGGCTGTTTTCCGTTGATGTAGCGGCACTACAAGCTACCACCGTGCACCATAGGCCATACCCCCTCTCCACATTATAGCTTGGAGGCTTGCGAGCGGCTTGCCGCGTTACTGTATCTACGAAAAATAGACTCTTTTTCACATCAAATTTTCACGTACTTCTGAAATGCTAAACGGAATGACGTTTTGCAAGGTTGTAGAGTAATTCCAGACGAGTACAATGCGGTTTGAAAAGTAGCTATATGTTAAAAAACTAATTACGTTCAACTTTTTTGTAGAGGGACCATTTTTTGCTCCTTGCAGCGGTATGCAAAAAGTTTACAGCTGATCTTCCTAAAATTTGGTGGTAAGGGACACAAGGTCTACTTTATGTTTAATTTTCAAGTCTTAGTTTTATTAAAAGGAACGTTAGGTATAGATTTTGCAAAAAATTATCCAAAGCGATACTTTTTTGCAAATTGTAAAAAAACGACTGGTTTGATTTTA